ACTGTCCTCATCCTCCAGCAGGATCCAGAAAGCTTCAGATGATCCATGGACCTGTAAGAGAGCAGCTCTGACCCTCACATCAGCCCAGATCCCACCTCTTCCAGCAGCTCAACACAAGCTCTCCCAGAGTCATCCTGCTCCAGAAGGACCTTCCTACCTTCCAGGACATGATTTAACCCAACATGAATGATTTATAAGTGGATCTTGGTTTAGATGTAGCCTCCCAACTCACCTTTTCATCCCACTGGAAGTCGGGGGCAATGGTGAGCTCCACTTTGAGGGTGGAACGGGTGATGGGCTGGAGGTGGACTGAGAGCTCCAGCTTTGGGAAGAGGTGAACATATTTATGGATTGTTTTGCCCATCTTGGGCATCCTGATCAGCTCTCCTGGAATGGGAAGGTGCTGTTGTCAGGACAGATGAAGAACAGGAGGACCAACAGCTCCCAGAGGAGCAGCACTCAATAGCTGAGACACATGGAGCTGGAAGGTAACTCAGTACCAAGAACCTCACCAGTCCTGGTCCTTCAGGCCCCAAACTACCCCCTTCTGATCCCAAACTACCCGCTTCAGACCTCAAACTATCCCCTTCTGTTCCCAAACTACCCCCCTCAGACCTTTAAACTACCCTTCTGATCCCACTCTACCCCCCTCAGACCCCAAACTATCCCCTTCACACCCTCAACTACCCCCTCAGATCCTGAACTAACCAGTTCAGACCCCCAACTAACCCACTCAGGCCCCAAACTACCCCCTCAGACCTGAAACTACCCCATTCAGACTCCCAACTATCTCCTCAGATCCTGAACTATCCCATTCAGACCCCAAACTATTCCTTCTGACCCTCAACTACCTCCTCAGACCCTCAACTACCTCCTCAGACTCCAGACTACCCCCTCAGACTCCAGACTACCTTCTGACCCCAACCTACCCGCTTCAGACCTCAAACTACCCCCTTCTGTTCCCAAACTACCCCCCTCAGACCTTTAAACTACCCTTCTGATCCCACTCTACCCCCCTCAGACCCCAAACTATCCCCTTCACACCCTCAACTACCCCCTCAGATCCTGAACTAACCAGTTCAGACCCCCAACTAACCCACTCAGGCCCCAAACTACCCCCTCAGACCTGAAACTACCCCATTCAGACTCCCAACTATCTCCTCAGATCCTGAACTATCCCATTCAGACCCCAAATTATTCCTTCTGACCCTCAACTATCTCCTCAGACCCTCAACTACCTCCTCAGACTCCAGACTACCCCCTCAGACTCCAGACTACCCCCTCAGACTCCAGACTACCCCCTCTGACCCCAAACTACCCCTTCAGACCCTGAACTACCCCCTCTGACCCAAACCTACCCCTTCAGACCCCAAACTACCCCTTCAGACCCTCAATTATCTCCTCAGACTCCAAACTACCCCCTGGCACCCTGAACTACCCCCAGTTTTGGGGTGAGCCCTGAGAGGACAAAGCCACAGCCAGGTCCCCCATGTCCCCTCACCGATCTCGTTGTGGTTCAGGTCATAGAGTCGCTCAAAGGGGAAATTCTTCTTCTCAATCTTCTTCACCACTTCTTCAGGCAGCTTCTTGAACTGGCGCAGGGGACACATGGATTGCCACCTGGGGGACACCAAAGAGAAGCCAGGAGGTGGAGATGAAGCCTTTCAGAGCATCCAAGGTTCTCTGTGCTAACCAAGAACAGCCCCAGAATTCTCCTCTCCAAACACAGAAGCCCCAGAAGGATTTGAACACCCAACCCTGCAACTAGAACATCATGGAAAGGACCTGAAACATCACCCAGTCCCACCCCCTGCATGGGCAGGGACACCTCCCACCAGCCCAGGCTGCTCCAAGCCCCATCCAACCTGCCCTTCAACACCCCCAGGGATGGGGCAGCCACAGCTTCCCTGCCCAACCTGGGCCAGGCTCTCACCACCCTCACACCAAAGAATTCCCTCCTCATCTCCAACCTCCAGCTCCCTCTCCCAGTTTTCATCCATCCCCCCCAACCCATCCCTCCCTGCCCTTGTCCCAAGCCCCTCCCCAGCTTTCCTGGAGCCCCTTCAGGCACTGGAAGCTGCTCTAAGGTCTCCCTGGAGCCTTCTCTTCTCCAGGCTGAACACCCCAACCC